ACAGGATCATGGCGCCTAGGCGCCGAAAGTGAATGGGCACTTAGGCGCCCCGAATGCAGAACCAAAACAGGATCATGGCGCCTAGGCGCCACTCTTGGGCGCCTAGGCGCCCCGGTAGGCTATATATATAGCCATTTCCCCCCCTTTCTCATACAACACATTTAAGACAAGACCTAGAGAGAAATTGAGAGAAAAACTTGGAGAGAATTTTTATAAGATTGAAGGTTGTTCATCTTGGGTATAAATTCAAAGGTATTTTCTTTCTTGGGGATTAACTTGAGGCTTGTTCAAGTAATCCAAACACATTGATTATCATATATTCCATTGGAATTCATTTCTTCCTCATTTTCTTGTTGTTCAAGCATATTGGAAATTTTCACTTTGCCAACTTAGTTTGATCTTTTGGCATTCATTGGGAGGTGTTTTCCCAACAATTGGTTAAACTTCGATTTTGTGGTGAGTTGCTCGAACTTTGTTGTGCACAAGGTGTTTGTGAAAATTCCCAAGTGAACTTTTGTGGTTTATCTTCGGTAAACAAGTGAATAAATCATGTCTACTAGAGGAATGGTGAAGATTGGGAAGTATGAGATAAAAAAATTCAATGGGAAGAATGATTTTTCATATTGGAGAATGCAAATGAAAAATTTGTTGATTTCTCAAAAGTTGCACAAGGCATTGGCGGGAAAGGAGAAGAAGCACGTTGATATGTCGGACGAGGATTGGGAAGAGTTAGATCTTGAGGCACGAGTGTCTGTCATTCTTTGCCTTGAAAGAGATGTTGCTTTCTTGGTTGATAGTGAGGTAACGGCGGCGGAGGTGTGGACAAAGTTGGAGGCGAACTTCATGACGAAGACTCTAACAAATCGGATCTACTTGAAGTCCAAATTGTATACTTGCAAGATGGATGAAGGTACACCAATCCGGGAGTACGTCAACAAGTTTGATAGGATCATATCGGACTTGAAGGACATTGATGTGGATGTAGATGATGAGGATCAAGCACTTCTACTACTTCTTTCATTGCCAAAGTCTTACGACAACCTAGTACAAACATTGATGCTTGTGGGTGATAAACTTGTGATGGAGGACATTAGAACGTCACTTCTAGCGGATGATCTTCGAAAGATTGCAACTAGTGGCATGTCTACCATTGGTAACAAGAAGCAAGCTCAAGGATTGTTTGTAAGGGGTAGAAGCAATGTGCGACCAAAGGGCAAGGGAAAAAAATCTAGATCGAGTTCTAGACCTCTTGCGGAAAGGTCTTGTTTCAAATGTGGTGAGCTTGGGCATTTCAAGGCGAATTGTCCAAACAAAAAGGATTGGAAGAAGAACAATAAGAACAACAACAGTGGGAAGGTGCAAGCTAAGCAAGAGGTAAGCTATGCCTCGGAAGGAGGGGAAAGCGATGAATGCTACACCATCTCTTGTGATGAAGTGACCTCCGGTAAGTGGATTCTTGACTCCGGATGCTCTTACCATATGTGTCCAAATAGGAAGTGGTTTACTACCTATAGAAGCACTGAGGGTGGAACCGTGTTGATGGGTAATAACCATTCATGTAAAACGGTGGCGCTTGGTTCAATTAGAATCAAGATGCATGATGGAGTGGTTAGAACATTGATGGATGTTAGACATGTTCCTGATTTGCGAAAGAACCTTATATCTGTTGGTGCCTTAGACTCCGGTGGTTGCAAGATTGTAACATGGAATGGAGTAAAGAAGGTTGTTCGTGGTTCTTTGATTGTGATGAAGGGTATTCGTGAAGGCAATCTCTATGCTCTTCAGGGTACTACAGTTATTGAAGATGTAGCAGTTGGAACAAGTGGAAGTGGTGGAGATCCATGTGAGTGCACTCGGCTTTGGCATAGGAGGCTTGGGCATATGTCTGAAAAGGGGCTAGATTTGCTAGTCAAGAAAGGCTTGCTAAAGAACTTGAAGAAGCCTTGCATGGACTTTTTGTGAGCATTGCGTGTACGGTAAAGCACACCGAGTTCAGTTCCAGCCAAGCAAACATAGAAGCAGAGGCATTCTTGACTATGTGCATACGGATGTATGGGGCCCGGCTTCTGTCACTTCCAAAGGCGGTTCCAGATATTTTGTTACATTTGTTGATGATTATTCTAGATATGCTTGGATTTATTTCTTGAAGCATAAGAATGAGGTATTCGACACCTTCAAGAAGTGGAAAGCAATGGTTGAAAACAGAACAAGAAAGAAATTGAAGACACTGAGATCTGATAACGGTACTGAGTATACAGATGGTGCTTTCAAGGAGTTCTGTGGTAAGGAAGGCATTGTGAGACACTGGACAGTAAGAAATACACCGCAACAGAATGGGGTCGCGAAAAGACTGAATCGTACATTTCGAGAGAAATCGATGTGTATGCGATCCTATGCTTGTTTGGGCAGAGAATGGTGGGCAGAGTGGGTTGCAAATGCTTGCTATATTGTGAACCGATCTCCACATTCAAGGTTAGATGGAGATGTACCTTACAGGGTACTGACAGGAGAACATGCAGATTATGAGAAACTCAAAACATTCGAATGCACAGCCTACTATCATGTCAACGAGGAAAAGCTTGATACGAGGGCCAAGAAGGCTATATTCTTGGGGTATGCGGCAGGTGTTAAAGGCTATCGCCTTTGGTGTTTAGAGGATTCTAAGTTCATAATCAACAGAGATGTTACCTTTGATGAGAACTCCATGGTAGCTTCATTGAAAGCTACAGTGCCCGGTGGTGATGATGTTGAGACTACAATGTCTCAAGTTGTTGACATAGAACCTAGAGATCAACCTGATTCTAGGCATGTTCAAGAGGAGCATCAAACAGACATTCAAGATGAGAGTGATGATGCATTTGAACAAGAGGCGATTGAGCAAGAGAATGTACAGGCACAACAATAGCAGCAGCTTGCAGATAACTTGGCTTCCTCTAGGCCACGCCGTACTTACAAGCAAGTTCTAAAGTTGGGGTCAGACGAGCCTTTGAGGCACTATGGGCAGACAAATTTGGTTGAGTATGCACTCTCGGTGGAGGATGATGAGCCTACCACTTTCAAGGAAGCTATTTTAAATAATAATAGCGAGAGTTGGTTGGCGGCAATGGAAGAAGAGATGGAATCACTTCACAAGAACCAAACATGGGAAGTTTTCCCATTGCCTATAGGTAAGAAAGCTATTGATTGCAAGTGGTTGTATAAAAAGAAGGAGGATCCTACCAAGCTCGATGGGACAAGATTCAAAGCGAGGTTAGTGGCTAAGGGGTTTGCACAAAGAGAGGGAGTTGACTACAATGAGATCTTTTCTCCTGTGGTCAAGCACGTAACTATATCTATCTTCTTCTATATGTGGATGACATGCTTATCGCTTCGAAAAGCAAGGTGGAGATAGATAAGTTGAAATCTCAACTTGGTAAAGAGTTTGAGATGAAGGATATGGGGGCTGCTAGGAAAATACTGGGTATGGAGATCAGAAGAGAGAGGACGAACCGGCGAATGTTCTTGAGTCAGAAAGGCTACATTGAGCGGGTTATTGCTAGGTTCGGTTTGCAAGGTGCAAAGTCGGTGGTAACTCCATTGGCTCCACATTTCAGGCTCTCTAGTAAACAGTCTCCTACTACAGCGGAAGAAAAGGTACGCATGGATCGTGTGCCTTATGCTAGTGCAGTTGGCAGTTTGATGTATGTCATGGTGTGTACACGCCCAGCTATTTCACAGGCAGTGAGTGTGGTCAGCAGATTCATGGCGAATTCGGGAAAGGCACATTGGGAAGCTGTGAAATGGATCCTGAGGTACTTAAAAGGTACCGCGGATACGGGTCTATGTTTTGGTGGAGATGCATGTCATAAAAGTGGGTTTGTGGACTCGGATTATGCAGGTGATCTAGATAGACGACGATCTACTACTGGATATGTGTTTTGCATACATGGTGCCCCAGTTAGTTGGCGATCGATGTTACAGGCCACAGTTGCTCTTTCCACTACAGAGGCCGAGTATAGGCCATGGCAGAGGGAGTGAAGGAAGCATTGTGGCTATGGGGTCTTCTAGATGATTTGGGGATTGAGCAGGATTGTGTGGATTTGTGGTGTGATAGCCAGAGTGCGATTCACTTGGCTAAGAATCAGGTTCATCATGCTCGAACCAAGCATATTGACGTCAGGTATCATTTTGTGCGTGATGTTATAGAGGAAGGTGATATTTCACTCTCGAAGGTGCACACAAATGAAAACCCAGCTGACATGTTAACCAAAGTTGTGACGGGTAGCAAGTTTCAACATTGCTTGGACTTGCTTCACATTAGTCCGTGTTGATATGCCCGAGAGGGCATGGCCCTTCGGGGCGAGGTTGAAATGAGGTGGAGCGTATATGAAGGTGGAGGTGAACTACGGAGGCTTGATCTCGAGTTTTGGGTACGTAGGCAATCATGGTTTGAATGATGCAGCCGAGTTGGTGCTTGCTAATTCTTCGTGTGTTTGTCCAAAATTTGAGGTCTATCAAATGATGTACGAGGTGGAGAATTGTGAGAAGAAGAGAAGCAAGAAGAGGAGCTGGGAAGAAAGGGAAGAGAAAGTGAATGGGTGCCTAGGCGCCACACATAAACTGGGCGCCTAGGCGCCCCGAATGCAGAACCAAAACAGGATCATGGCGCCTAGGCACCACTCTTGGGTGCCTAGGCGCCCCGGTAGGCTATATATATAGCCATTTTCCCCCCTTTCTCATACAACACATTTAAGACAAGACCTAGAGAGAAATTGAGAGAAAAACTTGGAGAGAATTTTTACAAGATTGAAGGTTGTTCATCTTGGGTATAAATTCAAAGGTATTTTCTTTCTTGGAGATTAACTTGAGGCTTGTTCAAGTAATCCAAACACATTGATTATCATATATTCCATTGGAATTCATTTCTTCCTCATTTTCTTGTTGTTCAAGCATATTGGAAATTTTCACTTTGCCAACTTAGTTTGATCTTTGGGCATTCATTGGGAGGTGTTTTCCCAACATCAAGGTTGCAAAATTCCAGTGGTATTGGACCCCCCAAGATGGTTTTTAGACATAGCAACTTGCCTCACTGTAGTCATTTTACCCATTGAAATGGGAAGTCTGCCAAACAATGAGTTGTTACTAATGTCTAATACTTCCAGAGGAATGGTAGACAAGCTATCAGGTATGGTGCCGGAAAACTCATTACTATCTAAATACAGCTATGCCAAATTTGCAGGTTGATAAATTCTGGAAATATTTGTCCTTGCAATTTGTTATTTGATCTTTTGAAATGGAACAATGAGGAGCTGCCTGCACCTAATTCCTCTGGTACTTGGCCCGACAAGTTATTGTTGGATAGGTCTAGAAATTCTAAAGATTTCAAGTCGTCAAAACTAGAAGGTACACAACCATCAAACACATTTCTAGACATGTTTAAAACAATCAAATTTGGAAAGACTGCACTTATATTAGTTGGAACCTCTCCCCTCATATCGTTATTAGAAATATCTAACAGTCCCATATCCAGTTTGGCACTTGATGGCAACTTGAGAGGTCTGTCAAAGCATTATTTCCCAAGTCGAGTCCTATAAGTCTTGTATTGTTCTCTAACAACCAAGATGGAAAATTCCCCCCCAAGCCGTTGTGTGAGAGATCAAGACCTCTCAAATCAGACTGGTAGTGAAGGAAGTTGGGTATTGTTATATATTTATGGTATAAATATAAAATGTGAAAGAAATAATCAAATTAGATAAAGTGCCAAAGTGGTGGGAAATGTGACATTTGTGTGGACGTCAGGGGTTCGAGTCACTCCCCAAAGTGGTGGGAAATGATTTATTTTTTATTATTTAATGGGTAAAACTAGCTAATATTTTCTGACTATTTGCTTTTGTAACAACCCACTAATAGCCATTAAAACATCCACTACTCAGTCATTAAAATTCTGTATTAAAATGGTGAAAACTGTTACTTCCATCTTGCCTATATAAACCCATATCTCGTTTTGGGAAAAATACAACAAAAAAAAAAAAATAGAAAAATCATCTTGCATCAATCATCCTTTTCATATTCTGAATTTCTTATATTCGGGTTTTTACATTTGTTCTGGAGTACAATTGAGAGTTCTAGAAAAATCATTCGTGATTGTTGCACAAGTGGTTTACGATCGTTGTATCATGGGAGTGACTGTCCATGGATGTCGTAGCAATTATTGACGGACAATTTCACTTTAGGACATCGTGCTGTCACGAGACTCGATCAGACGATAAGTTTTATATTTCTGCATTATATTGTTCTGATCACTATTGCAACTAATTATTTTTTCCGACAGAGATATTCAAGCGATTTGAGTTTGGGAAGTGGAGAAAATGCAATATTTCCAACAAATCTATTGTAAGAAAGATCAATAAATCGAAGGGATGTCATGTTTCCTAGACATGAAGGAAGTAATCCTTTGTACTTATTTTTACTCAGATCCAACTTCTCAAGGTTTTTAAGTTGACACCAACCTGTAAATGAAATGGTAACAATCAATGGTTTGAAACCCCATCAAGGTGTTGCTGAGAAGAGGAAAGGAAGAAGAGGGCCAGGAAGTGTGATTGGTGAGTGCTCCGTGTTATTTCGTGCTTTCCTAATCTTAGATATGTTTTGATTGCTAAGGTTTTGTCTTGAATTGTTATTATCTTAGTCAGAGCTGGTGTTTTGACTTTGTTAACCATCAAATATTATTAATGTCTTTGCGGTTATTTAGTCACAACATTCAAGATACCTCCAAGGGAAACAGAAGGGGTAGTTAGCATTGAGGGAACTCTTGTTGTCCTTCTAGTTTCAATTGGTTTTCCTAGGGAGGGTATTCTGCAAAAAGGGGTGTGACTATGATGGTGACACGTGGGAGGACTGTAAGTATTAATTTTCTATATCCGACGTTGTTGGTTTGTCAGCAGTCACAAATATATCTTATTGATGACTGTCTACTGGACTCAAAAATTGGTTTATAGAGTCCAAGCAATTGATCAAATGTCTATTTGGTATTTGATCTATAGGTTTAGGAGAGTATGATGAGATATGCTATAAAGACTCAGTTCTAAAGAATCGACAATGGAGTGCTTATATTGATCGTTCTCCTTGTGCTGCTAGCTACTTAGAGGTTTTTTCTTCCCTTTCTTTAGTTTGTAATTCCTTCATGTTGTACTTGCTTGCTCATATCTCATTTCTAAATGGCCAGTTATGTGAACAGATGGTTGCTAACAATTTAGTGATTATATGCTTCTATCTTAAATACAATTGTCTATGAGATATTTGAAGTGGTATGTGGATTTCTATTTTCCATTAACTCCATCAGTTTCTATTTATTTTATTTATTTTACATCCACTTAGAAAATAAAATCAATAAAAATAAAATCAATAATATCTGAAAGTAGCACCCGTGTATTGCAAATTTAAGTGGAATCATGTATTATTTTAGTCATTTGTCGTGGCCACAAATGAAATGGATTGGGTATGCTTTGGATAGGTTCTTGGTGTACTTGCGTGAACCAACCACCTTCATTCTAATTGGCTTGTGTTGGTCCATTTGATTTTATTATATTGGCCCTAGGGCTCAGTGTAAGTTAGCCTATTATACATAAAGACTAGGGTCTGTTTGGCGTTGATGGCGTGAGTAGAGCTTTTAGCAGTAGAACTTTTGATAGTAAATCTTATATTAAAAGGTTGTTGATTGTTTGGTGTGCATAAAAAAGTGCTTTAATTATTAAATTGATTGTTTGGCAACATAACTATTCTTTAAAAAGTGACTAACTTCTAGAAAAGTTTCATTCAAATGGTATTTTACTATTCGTTAAACATTTATGTCAGGATCGATAGTCTAAATTGAATTGAATTGTACTGCATAATATTAAATGAAAAAAAGTTGAAATTTTACTTATTGAATTGAATAGTACTGAATAGAACACGCGCTATTTTCCTTCTTAGACCGAAGAATGTAAACTCAGTAGAAGCATGGAAAAAGTTTATAGAAGATACTCTTTCTACTACTTTCAAGTAAGTTGTATTTCCATATTAAGCATAAAATTTATTTGATTATTGATTTTCAAAATTTTTTGTTTTGTTTTCTTAATATGAAAAAAGTGCCAAGTTTATCAAAATGAGAACCAATAAGAAGCTTTTACATACTATAGGTCGAAAGGGTTATCAACATATGGCACACGATTTGGTACACATACAAACTATCTTTACTTGTCTGTACCTATCTTTTCTTGTCCGTACCTATCTTTACTTGTCCAATGCTAGTATGCATTACTTGATTTGTATTGCAAAAAAAAAAAAGTATCCAGACATAAAAGGGTTAAGAACTAGAGTGTGGACTAATGGACATCTTAGAAGGGATGGAAAACCTATAAATGAAGCGGTTGCCGAAACTTTGGTACGTGTATAATATCAACATTTTGTCAATAATGGTTAAACTTGTTATATGTATCACAAGCTAGTATATAATTTAAGTTCCATAAGTGCAGAAAAAGATAAAAGATTGTGCCCAATCTATTTTCGATACACCAGCAGAAGATTCTATTCGCGATGATGCTGTTGCTCGAGTTCAAGGTCTTGAATGTTGTGGAAGAGTAAGGGGACTTGGATTTGGAGTTACACCATCAAAAGTAGATGGACAAATTCAAAACAATTCTCGAGTGAGAGAACTTGAAAACCAACCACAAACGTAGTCAGAAAGGGTAGGAGCACTAGAAAAAAAAGTTGAAGCGCTTCTCAAGTTATCTCAAGTCTATGTACTTTATTGTTACATCTAATATAATAACATAGTTTTAAGTAACTTAGTAAGTAGAATAACTTTTTTACTTTTTGTATTATTTTACAGAGTCAAAATAAGAATGTAGAAGACACGAGTTAACGCGTTTTTACTTAGGTTTTGTATCTTATATAATTTTTTCACTTCCTCAATATAAATTCAGACTATAGCATACTAATTTTAAAGAGAATATGTTCATTTCACTGTGAATTTGTAGTCCCAACAAGGAAGTGGTATTTAGGGAGGTAGTGCACATTTGGAAAATACAAGGTGTCAACTATTGCATTGGTACCAGTTTAATGAAGAAGAAATTGTAGCAGAAGGGAAGATTGCATCATCTGACCCAAGCACAAAAGTACACCAAATGCCACTTGGATGAGATTGTTGGAAGGTTTGGATTGAAGAAGTGTATATGGGTCATTTAACCTTGTATAGACCTACTGATGAATTTTCAGTTCTTAATGAGGCCATGGGAAGTACTGTTGCTTGGCCAAAGAGTAGCATAAGGTATTTCATAAATTTTTGCACTTTTGCATGTATTTATGTCTTCATTTTTGTATTTTCATATTTGTTTTTCTCCATGTTTTATGCATTCATTAAGTGAGTGTGTGATTAGATGTTTTTCTTTTACTTGTCATGGCTGAAATAAAATTTAAGAGCTTATACTAATATACCCTGTCATAAACATGTACTATGCTTACTTGAGTATTATAAGTGAAAAATAATGTTAAAAAGGAGAAATTATGTTACTTTTTGTTTCTGTAATTGTGGATTATCATTTTGGGTTTTGTATCATTATGGTGAGAGTGTTGTTCTATTTATTATGTGTAATTACTTATGTAGATATTGTCGAATTTTGTATAGGGCACTCGTTTAAATTTACTGTCCATGCGCATCTTAAGATAACAGAATGGAGAATTGAATATCAAAAAATGATGTCTAGAGAAGCCATTTGTATGAATGACCTTTTTTTTTCTGGCTTAAGATGGCAAGAATCTATACTTTTGCATAATCTCAAATCTTTTTTCTTAACTAGACCCAAGAAAGAAGACTTAAATTCTTCATATATTTATTGCTTTAGCAACAACTTGTGCCATTTGTACTATTATTGTCATCAACAGGATAAAAAGCACAAGTGTATGAAGATGTAGCTACTCTGGAGGAGCTTCAAGCTTTGGAGCTTGAGGGTTTGAGTGTTGAGATTATTTTTGTGGATGTAGTGAAAGACAATGTTGAGTGGTGGATCAGTGAGTGTTTATTGAGGTGTTTTGAAGAAGCAATATTGTAATAGTATGTACTTGTTCTATGTTTATTGTGTAGGGATTAAATGTTTCGTAATTGAAGTTATAGTTTTTATTTCATAGTCTTGTTATATGCATTTGTACGTAAATAGATAATGTTTGTCTTGAATTATTGTTGGTCAATGTTTTATATGGAAATAGGAAAAACAGGACTATGGAATTGGTAATGTTAAAAATAAAAAAGGAAACAAAAGGGCAGTATCCATTTAAAGGTGAAGACAATGTTCAAAGAACGTTACGAAAAAAGATAAAGACAACGGTTGAAGAACGTTGAGAAAAACCTTAAGACAACGTGCGTTGAACGTTGCGAAAAACATTAAGACAATGTGCATTGAATATTGCAAAAAACTTTAAGACAACACCCATTAACTGTTGCAGAAAATATAAAGACAACGTGCGTTGAACGTTACAAAAAACTTTAACGCAACACTCATTGAACGTTGCAAAAAATATAAAGACAACGTTCAATGAACATTACGAGAAACTTTAGCACAACACTTATTGAACGTTGCAAAAAATATAAAGACAACGTTCAATGAACATTACGAGAAACTTTAGCACAACACTTATTGAACGTTGCAAAAAATATAAAGACAACGTTCAATGAACATTACGAGAAACTTTAGCACAACACTTATTGAACGTTGCAAAAAATATAAAGACAATGTTCAATGAACGTTGCGAAAAACTTTAATGCAACATTCATTGAATATTGCAAAAAACTATATGACAACACGCAATGAACGTTGTGAAAACCTTCCACTCTACGGCAACAACAAAGCCGTAACATACACACGAACGTTGCAAAAGGTCAAGGCAACGTTTTTTGACCGTTGCGAAAGGTAGTTTTTGTTGTAATGTCGAGATGTGCCAGCAAACTTGATATTTGCTCGGCATACTCGACTTTTCCACATATAATACTCTAGATAATTGGAGGACCAACTTAATGCTGCATGATAGATTGAAGACCTGTTTGTTCCTATTGGATAGTTGGAGAACGAACATGATTCTTCTCCATAGAAAGAGGTCCAACATAATGTTTCTGAATAGTTGGAGGACCAAGTGGACATGTCAGGATAGTTAGATGACGATGTTGATGACTTATAATATTACTATTCAAAATGACTAGGATTAAGTTGGAAAAAATTGTTAATTACTGTCTTGACCAAAATGTTATTGGACATGATGGACTTGACGGGGCCATTTGACAGAGCAGAATAATGGAATGAGTAGACGAGTAATTCATGCAAAAATAATCGATCTGAATGCTAAAATGCCAAAAATGAAATGATAAGGATGATTTTGCGCAATGAAGACAAATGATGAGAATGTTTTGTGTCAATCATCTAAAAATAAAATAAGATTTATGACCCATTAAAAAAACTCAAAATAAAGTTCATTAAAGTAAAATGAAACAATATGATAAGTTGGGTGATTAACCGTGTTTTTAATTCTTATGATTCATGCATATTGCACATTATACGAATCTATAGCAAGGACTTTTCTTCATGTTCGTGATATATAGATTCCTAATTACAATCACGCCATTGATTGAACGTCGTGAGAATGTAGAATTTTTATATTGCACCACGCATTATCAGTCAATGATGGCATGACACCAATGGGATCATATTAGAAAAACAGTGCAAACTAAACATCTATCATAGGAAATTTCTAAATTGTACATTGCCTTGTCTATACTAGCATTAAGGAAAAATGGTACAGATTATAGTTTAGATCATCGTACAATAACTACAGCTTTGTGCGTGAGGACAAGAAGACCTTGACCTCTAGATGGAAATATATTTGGGAGAAGGCGTAGTGAGACTTTAGTGTCTAACTATTAAGGAAGAGACATGAAATTCTTAATATGTGAATTCATCATATTTCTTCAAATTTGAGTAAATTAATTTGTTACCTCAGATGGATTAAATTTTTAGATGAGATGATTCAATATGATTTTCTAAGTTTGAATCTTGATCCCACCTGTTGTTGAGTGGTATTGAGAGACCAAAAGCTAGTTTAAGAGGTGAGACATTTCCTCACATTTATAAACTGACCACCAGCTCCTTCCACAATTGATGTGCGACAATCTCAACAATCTCCTCCTCACACATCCAGCTCTACGGAAGATCAAACCTGTCTCCCCCTCACAGAACGAGCCATGGGTGAGGTCAAACATGTCTCCCCCTCACACAAACTCGCATCTCCCGTGACTGTTGGGACTAAAACTTGTTGATAACCTAGACTCTGATATCAGTGTTAAATGGTATTGGACTTTCTCAACCCCAAAAGCTAACTTAAGTTCTGAGGCTTTCCCTTCCCTTCCACAACCAATGTGGGACAACTCAACACCTATTTATGAAAAAATTGTGTTTAAAAATTAATTTGGTCTACATGTGACGAGCATATTCAAATGATTTAGAGTGCGTTTGTTTGCCAATATTTTCCTATAAAAATGTCGTTTTTTCACCCAAATTCATACTTTTGTGCCATTTGATTGATATTTTTTTCATGGAAAATATTTTCCTATTTTTTTGTCAAGTGACCATATTTTTTTTTTAAAACAAGGAAAATATTTTCTTTATGGGAATAAGTTTTTATTTTTCAGGTAATTCACTATCTTTTTCTCTCTCATCTACTCACTCTTTTTCTTCTATCTACTAATAAAAAATGGACAAGCATAAACATTTTCTAGATTGAAAATAAAATCAATCAAACATGTTTACTCGACAATTTTCTTGAAAATAAATTTTAGACAATGAATTGCCTAGAATTTATTTTTTTTCCATGTAAATTCCATTTGTGCAATCAAACATACCCTTAAATAAATGTGTGCCTTCAGTGACGGGCATGTTCATACAACTCAAAAAATGTATACCTTCAATGAGAGATTAATTTCTCCAAATGCTTAGACAAATCTTCATATTTATGAAAAAAGAAATCACGAAATTTTCTTCATCAGAAAGGAAGTGGAATTGAAATAAAAGTAATTATAAACCTCCAATCAAAGCCTAAAACTTAACGACGTGGGATGTAATTAGAACTATTACAACTTACTCATGCTTTGAGTACCAACGTGCAGTTGGTGTCACTTGGGTAACTTCACACGATCAGTTTTCTACTGAAAATAGTCATCTCCAAGTGTGTATAATGTAAAGACCAATTCTTCATCTCCAAGTGTTTATGTTAAAAATAAAGCTAGGTGACAAAAGCCACACATTTTTAAAGTTAAACGACCAACAAAGTTATCAAACCTTTTACATGTACAGACGATCCCTACTAGATGATTATAATACAAATTATAAGGTCACTACGTACATCTTATTTACAATAAAATACGAGAATACGAAAACACGGCATAAAAAACGGACTATATAAACATCTATGAGATGAAACCATACTCTTCTCCAATGAGGATTTATGTAGAGAACTGCAGCCATGCAAAGCACCACAGATACACAAGAAATGGCAAAGCTGATGTAGAAGACATCCATATCCATGAAACCAGTTTCCTCATTAGAGACGATAGGTGATCCTGACATTGACTCACAGTTGACTGGCAATGGACGACCACAAAGAAAAGGATTTCCCTTATAGCAACCTTCATCAAATGTTCCAAATTGACCTTTCTCCGGTATCATACCTGATAAATTGTTATTTGCCACTGAGAATACTGCCAAAGAGTTTAAGTCAGTCAGTCCAGTGGGGATTCTCCCATTCAAGCTGTTGTAGGAAAGATCCAAACTCTCGATCTGATGTAGATTTGAAAAAGTAGCCGGCATTGTCCCAGTAAGATTGTTGTGAGATAAGTTCAGTGCATGTATCTCCCTTAGCATTCCAAGCTCCTCTGGAATTTCACCGTGCAATTTATTAGAAGAGAGGTCGATGCCTGACATGTGATCGAGGATGCCGCCCTTGTAAGAATATGAATTTCGCTTCGTTGAAAATACCGTTTCAATAGGCACATTAGTTGATGGAAAATACAATTTTTTGTAGAAGGATACAGAAATCATTTCCATCTGACCTCGACCTATAGAATCGGATACTCCAAAAATAGAAGATTTATCTCTAGTTACCTCCAGAGTTATGTTACCCAAGCAATGCGGAATCTGACCAGAAAGATCATTATAGGATAGGTCTATCAAGCTCAATCTCTTCATTTGGCATAGTTGTTCCGGGATTGTGCCTTCAAAATGATTGCCTTTAAGAAGAATGACACTCAAGCTTGATAGATTGTCAATCCAATGTGGGATATTTCCAGTGAATCTGTTCTCTCTAAGATCCAATGTAACAAGAGATTTTCTATTGTAAAATGCATATGAAAGCTGGCCTTCCAGAAGATTATTGTTTAGAAAGATGTGACTTAAGCCTCGTGGATTGAAGCAAGATGGGATTGAGCCAGATAAATTATTCTCCGATAAATCAAAGAGAACCAGGTTGTCAAGGTTGCAAAATTCCAGTGGTATTGGACCTCCAAGCTGGTTTTTAGACATAGAAACTTGCCTCGCTGTAGTCAATTTACCCATTGAAATGGGAAGTCTGCCAGAAAATGAGTTGTTACTAATGTCTAATACTTCCAGAGGAATGGTAGACAAGCTATCAGGTATGGTGCCAGAAAACTCGTTACTATCTAAATACAGATATGCCAAAGTTGGCAGGTTGATAAATTCTGGAAATATTTGTCCTTGTAGTTTGTTATTTGACATTTTGAAAAGGAACAATGAAGAGCAGCCTGCGCCTAATTCTTGTGGTAATTGGCCCGACAATTTATTGTTGGATAGGTCTAGAATTTCTAAAGATTTTAAGTCGCCCAAAGTAGAAGGTACACAACCGTCAAACTCATTTCTAGACAAGTTTAAAACAATGAAATTTGGAAAGACTGCACTTATATTAGTTGGAACTTCTCCCCTGAAATCATTATTAGAAATATCTAACAGTGCCATATGCAGTTTGGCACTTGATGGCAACTGGAGAGGTCCCGTCAAAGCATTATTTCCCAAGTTGGCTCCTTTAAGTCTTGTATTGTTCTCTAACAACCAAGATGGAAAATTCCCCCTCAAGCCATTCCGTGATAAATCAAGCATTCTCAAGTCAAATTGGTAGTGAAGGAATTTGGGTATTGTTAGATCGCCCGTGCAATTTGCCATACTAAAAATTTGCAGCTGAAAAGTTGGAATCCAGTTATGCGACACAGTTTCTGCTATTGCTTGGTTTGTTCCAGCAATTATGACTCGAAGGTTTGAATGATTTGAGAATAGCTCAAACGAAATTGGCACTTGAAAGTTGTTGTGTCTCAAGGAGAGATATTCAAGTGACTTGAGTTTGGGAAGTGGTGAGAATGCAATATTTCCAACAAATCTATTGTAAGAAAGATCAATAAATCGAAGGGATGTCATGTTTCCCAGACATGAAGGAACTAATCCTTCCCAAGAACATGAAGTAACAATACCAGAAAAAAAAAATCTTTATTTTTTTTAAAAAAAAAAAAAAAAAAAATTTTTAAGAAAAAAAAAAAAAAAAAAAAAAAAAAAAAAAAAAAAAAAAGAAGAAGAAGAAGAAGAAGAAGAAGAAATAATTGAAGAGACAATGCTAGAAGAATTCATTAGTCAGCATGCTTAAACCAGAGAAAGGCACGAGAAGTTTACCTTGGGCGGGAAGGGTGCCATTGAGTCCACATTCTGACAAAGTTAGAAATTTCAAAGAAGTCATTCCTCCAATGCTTTGAAGAAAGTTTGCATCCAAGGAAGAAAAGTCCAAGTACAATCCCTCCAACTGGCTTAAATTCCTCAATGCTACTCCACACACACACAACAACAACAACAAAAACAAAATCAATACAATGTACTAGAAATTAGAGTTAATGTTCCTCATAAGATGATTAATAAAAACTCTAGATTACCATAAGTGACAAGCATTCCCTCTAAACTATTGTTTCGTAAGAAGAGTTTCCTGAGGTTTGAGAATGCCGTCAAAGATTGTAGCATGTTGCTAACGTTGGATTTGATGCCGTCTAAATATAGTGCCTCGAGGCGACACATACTTTTGATGCCTGATATGGTGGAAAACATATAAACTCTTGAGCGACGCTAGAGCTTGAGCCCTTTAAAGCATGTTTGAAGGGACACTCTGCTATTATTGGATAGTATTACGAAGAAAAAGAAACTAAAATATCTTGTTTGCATACAGTTTAGTCATGTCTAATACTGCATACACATGCGCTTAAAAGGTAAATTGAAACCCGAAAGATCTTGTTGAATACCTTCTGAAGCAGTAAAGTTATCAACCTCATTGTAACTTAGTTCCAGCTCAACCAAATTGCTCAAGGCATGCGATTCTTGGCATAAAGAGAAGAAACATATAAAAGTGAAATGTAAGACCTGTCTTGAGGTAGTGAAAAAAATTATAATTCAAATTGATTGAGGAAAAGCAGAGAGAAGAGGAAGAAGACTGTAGAACTAACCATTCATTTGAATCGATCCTTTTATTTTATTTCTAGAGAGGCCTAGATATTTAAGTGACGATAGCCCTTGAAGTGAGGAAAAAATGCTGTTGTTGAAGTTGTTGGCGTGTAAACTAAGGAACTTCAGATTTTTCAGTCCTGTTCGTTTCCAAAAAACCCAAACAAGGCGATTATCACAGAAATGACTCTAAGTTGATAATTAGTACATAGTATTATATCATACTACACATTAAAATCGATCCATTTTTTTTTTTTTTTTTTAAATTTCATTTAATATTGTTGCGAACAGTACAATCTGACTTATGAACATCCACAAAATGGAAAGAATGAAACGAAACAAAAAGGAATGAACGATAAACATCATCTAAGAAGAAGTTTATGAAAAGATTCACCGTTAATATTTCCCAAGCTACGAAATTGATCTCCACTTATATCAAGCTCCTTCAAACTGTTAAAATCATTCAANAAAGATTCACCGTTAATATTTCCCAAGCTACGAAATTGATCTCCACTTATATCAAGCTCCTTCAAACTGTTAAAATCATTCAAATCTGTGGCAATAAATTAGTAGTGCACCAAAAAGCATAATCTTATCTTATATGAAGGCAAGCTGTTGTTTAGCGTATCTGAAGATAAAATCTTACTCAATACCGACAGAACGTCACTGTCATTAACGGAATTAAGACTGAAATCAAGGATTTCCAACTTGCTTAATCTCGAGAGTCTTTCATGGCCTGCACAATGTTATAGTTTCTTCTGTAAATAAGGAGGTAGTGAACCGCCGAAATAGTTTCGAAAAATTAAAATACAATTAACCTTTGAACTTACTGTCAGCAGAAGTTTTTCCAGGTAAAAAGCTGTCTCTGAGGTTCAAATTCTTGAGAGAAGATAGTTGACTCAGAGATGCCAAAATGCTGCGATTAAATGAATTTTCACCTAGACCAAGGCCCTCCAAATTTCTCAACTTCGATAGTCTGTCAAAACCTGTTTAGAACATTCAATATTCATCCGTTAAAAGGTGAATCTCACGTCATTAAATATAAAACCATTATCAAAATACAAGTTCTTGGACCACTATACCTAACAAGGTTAACCTTTTGATACAGAATTCAAGATGAATAGTGATATCCAAGCCCGTATAGCTCAAAAAGCAATTCGATATGTCTATAGCACAAACAAGCATTTGGACTCCAAGATAGGTGTTCTCAAACAAGATACCATCTTGTGGGGACTTGTTAAATTGATCTCACATCATTTAAATGGGTTAAAAAACAATCAACATACAAGGACATAGATTACAGGGCATTTAGCATGACTTTTGTCAAAAGGAGCTTTTGGATCCGTTTCATTAAAATTGTTTCTTTTAGATAGATTTCAGAGTAAACTGGTCCAACTTGGTTTCCTCATGAAGCTCATCGGAATAGGAAGTTCTTTTAAAAATTAGTTTTCAAGTAAAAACCAAGGTAGCTTCCAAGCTTCTCTATGGTAAATAAAAGCAAAAGCCATGCCAAGGGTTATATTTTACGAGGGAACTCAAATATCATAAAATTTTAACATTGGAATAAGAGTAGAGCAATAGAGATGACAGCAGACCTTCATTCTCAATCCAGCCTACTAAATTATTCGACCATAATGAGAGAGTTTTGAGATCTTCAAAGGGAAGAAACAAAGAGGCATTAAAATGCCAATCTCCTAATTTCGGGTCCCTAGTCCAACCGAGATTGAGTTGGGTTACTCGTCTACTCCATCTGCTGCATTCAACTCCTTGCCACAGACAACAGTCAGCTGCAATCCATGACGAGAGGGATTTTCCAACGGGGAAGTTTATGTTTTCTTTGAGCTGCAAAAGAGCACTCCTCTCTTCCTCCCAACACCCAAAACAAGACCATTCATTTAACGA